GAGCTGATAGCAGACTGAATATTTGGCACGCAAACTCATCCTCTCTCATTAAACGCATGATGGATGCTTTCTCATTAACACAACACACAAGCCAGAGCCAGAACACAAACAAGCAAGCCATTGTGCCAAATTTTACATCAGGCCTGCTTGATGGTGTCCATACCGTAATGTGTGGTTATTCAGCATCCATTAAAATGTAACACTTTGTCATTTTATAAAAACAGGCATTTAGTGTCAGCTTTAACATTTTGCACTTATAAATTGTAAGTGATTTTGATGTCTACCCACATTGTTGAGTAATTCAGATGGTGGTTGAGCGGAAATTGTTCCAGGAAAAGTCGAGCTTAAATCTTTCACTCACTTTAGTCAGAGCGTCTGGTTCAGTCCCATCCTCCACCATGATCAGCTTGGCCCTGCCGTTCCTCTCATTGTCCCGGATATCAATGGCCAACTGGGAGGCCTTTAGACGTTCAAAACGATTGCAGTCACTGCCACACCACTGATAAATGTCCTGACGGAAAATGGGAAAAGTGTTTTTAAAATGACTCAAATGTACACTACCATTCAAACGTTTGGGGTCAGTAAGATTTTATTTTGAAGGAAAAAAGGGAAAGAAATTAAGAAAGTAATACTTTTATGCATTACAGTGTTAAGGATGCATTACATGTTAAATATGCTTATAATGTTACAAATAATGAATGCTACTTCTTTTGAACTTTTTTCCGTTACAGAATCTTTAAAAAAATCACTTATTTTCCACAAAAAATATTAAGCAGCACAACTGTTTTCAACATTGATAATAATAAGAAATGTTTCTTAAGAACCAGATCAGGATATTAGAGTGTCCATACCGTAATGTGTGGTTATTCAGCATCCATTAAAATGTAACACTTTGTCATTTTATAAAAACAGGCATTTAGTGTCAGCTTTAACATTTTGCACTTATAAATTGTAAGTGATTTTGATGTCTACCCACATTGTTGAGTAATTCAGATGGTGGTTGAGCGGAAATTGTTCCAGGAAAAGTCGAGCTTAAATCTTTCACTCACTTTAGTCAGAGCGTCTGGTTCAGTCCCATCCTCCACCATGATCAGCTTGGCCCTGCCGTTCCTCTCATTGTCCCGGATATCAATGGCCAACTGGGAGGCCTTTAGACGTTCAAAACGATTGCAGTCACTGCCACACCACTGATAAATGTCCTGACGGAAAATGGGAAAAGTGTTTTTAAAATGACTCAAATGTACACTACCATTCAAACGTTTGGGGTCAGTAAGATTTTATTTTGAAGGAAAAAAGGGAAAGAAATTAAGAAAGTAATACTTTTATGCATTACAGTGTTAAGGATGCATTACATGTTAAATATGCTTATAATGTTACAAATAATGAATGCTACTTCTTTTGAACTTTTTTCCGTTACAGAATCTTTAAAAAAATCACTTATTTTCCACAAAAAATATTAAGCAGCACAACTGTTTTCAACATTGATAATAATAAGAAATGTTTCTTAAGAACCAGATCAGGATATTAGAATGATTTCTGAAGGATCATGTGACACTGAAGACTGAAATAATGGCCAGTGAAAATGCAGCTTGCCATCACAGAAATAAATTACATTTTAAAATATATTGAAATAGAAAAAAGTTATTTTAAATTGTAACAATAGGGAAATATTATTACAATTTAAAATAACTATTTTCAGTGAGCAAAAGAGTTCTTTCAAAAGCAATAAATCATACTGACTCCCAACTTTTGAACTGTAGTGTATATTTAAAATATAATAGTAAAATATTTTTGTATATTTAAAAATATTCAAATGTGTTCTATTGGCAGCTTCAGTTATCTATACCTTCCCCAAGTCTACGATAAAGCAGTCTCCCTTGTTGAAGCTGCTCCAGGACATCTCCACCTCAGTGGCTCTGATGGCCCTCCTGCCCTTGATGTGCAGCAGTCGCTTCACATCCACGTCATTAGTCAACACGTGATGGAAGCCTGACGCAACCCCACCTTGCTGAGGAGTCAGGAAAGACAGTTGAATCATTCCATTACATAAAATGATACTGGGATAGTGACAAAATTAAAAGTAACAACCTAAATGCAAACCACTCGGCAGAGTGCTTCTCAAAGAGCCATGCAAACTTACTTAGCTAAGCAAATTGCTGAATATAATGGAAAGAATGTGGCATGACTAAACAGTAATGGATGTTTTAGAGCCATAATTGATTCTACTCTGATGCTTCTACAAAGTAAACCCAGCAGAAAGACTACTTTTGCAATCTCACTGCAAGTTAATGATAAACTCTGCTTCTAAGAAGGGTCATTTTCATGAAAAAGCAAAGGAGAGTTGACCTTATACTTGATGCCAGACTTGAAGTAGCCCAGGAAGGTGAGCGACTCATTGTTTTGGACCTCACGGAACTGAACCGGACCACCCCCGAGAAAGTCATCCAGCTGTGTGGAGAAGATAGCTGCAGCTCCACTTTCATCTTGAGAACACTCATTCCCTGGAGGAGGGGGAAATGATCACAGTAAAAGGGTTGCTGGTTTGTGCTATCTTTTTAATATATATATTTTTTTAAATGCAATTCACACATCTGTTGATGTGTTAAATGATGAGCATGTTTTGTCTGTATTAAAATTTATTTAGATATTTTTTGATGAATATATGATGAATAAAAAAACTTATTAAAAATGAAATACTTAAAAAGAAAACATTAAGTAGTTTGTAATATATTTAATACTAATAAAATAATAATATATATAATAATAATATAATAAAAATAAAATATTTGAACACAACTGATTCGCTGCTTATTAAATATTTAAAACTTTTGTCTGCCAATATCTGATACCATACAGAGGACCCCTGAAGACCCTCATGTGTCACAGTGCTATTTTAGTATTATTTATATACTATTTTTATTTATATTTTAAAATTTTAATTTTTATTACATTTTAGTTTTAGTAATTTTGTTGTGCTTTTGTTTTTTTTATATTTAGCTTTAATTAAAATAAATTCATTGAATTGAAATGAAATGAATAAATTAGTTTCCTTTTAAGGTTTTTATATAACATTTATATTCTATTTTATTTAATTTTTATTTTAGTAAAATAATTTGTTTAATAGTTATAGTTAACAAAAACAACCCTGTTATGTCAGTAAGGTCAATAAGTCTCTTGCAATATCAAATAATTTGGCTCCTTTTTGACAAGTCAATATTGGTTTAGGTTGTAAAATATCACATGATGCAGCTCCCCTAGAAATATATTTATATTTTTGAAAATAATGATGTGTAGACTCTCATGTACTCAATGAGTAAGGAGAATTATATATACATTTTTTTTTTTTTACTTTTACTGCGTCATTAAATTGATACATTTCTCAAAAATGTATCGCATGTTTATTATGGACACATCCAACTTTTACACAAAAGCAGCATACAAAAGACAGTAAAACATGTTTCAGGGTAGATGCTTCTGTTCGTGAAAAACAATGTCCTACAACATACAGGAACACTCAAACTGACCTCACTTGCCAAGCAGCACTAGCAGTGGATCTGTCTTTAGCAAAATAAGAACCAAATATAAACCCCAAAGAGGCCACATGGAGCACATTATGAGATTTTCCACTCTGTGTCCTCAAATAAACCTTTTCTTCTCACACTAAAGCTCTATTCAAATGTCTTAGAACTACTATGGTTTGGAGCATGTCTGTGAGCAAAACGAGTAAGTTTAAACCACTGGGTGGAACAAAAACAACATCTCACTGATCAGTCCCTAGAATTAAACAGGAGACCACATAAACCTTAGTGGGCTGAAAGCCAACGGTTAATGCACTGCCACACAAACAAGTGAAGGCACGCTGTAGTCTGTGGAGCTGACTAAACACCCTTTAAGTGACTACCCTTCTGAGGTATGCCGTCTGTACTAGATCAAATTAACTTTTCCTTACGGGTAGGAGGGAGTGTCATAAATAATTAGCACAAAATAGGTGCACTTTCAGAATTCTTTATATTTCTGTGAGATAATGGTGGTGAGAAAGCTCATGAGAAGTATTTACAGTATTCACAAAAAAGTAAGCAAAAAGTGACCTACTATTTCCAGCAAGATTCTGAAGTGTGCATCTGATGGACACTTTACTATACCATAATGAGGCCACAGCAGAGGATTTGTGAATATCAGTAATGTGACACAACTGATGCTGGTAGGTCACATGACAATGACAACATATTGAATGTAGTATGTCTGGATTACTACACAAACTCATACTGTATAGAACATACTTTTTAACGGCTCAAAAGAAGTACGTAACTCAGAGAGTATGTGATTTGGAACACAGCCAGTCACTTGTTTTGTTCCTGAATGAATCAATGTTTTTGAATGAATCAGTTGAATGAGTGATTCAATGACCCATTAATAAAGACAGTCATTGGTGTACATGTACCAGTAAATTTCTAAAGAAATTTTGTGGAAAAAAGGTCTAATGTCTATCATCAATAGTGCAGTGATGTACACTACCAAGCAAATTTCTGTTGGTCAGCGCGGCAAATTCAGTTGACCAACTTGAACCGGTGGTGAAATGGTGAAGAACTGTTGTATAGAGCACCTCAGTAAAGTTTTAAATGCATTTCCTTTTAAGTTTATGGCAGATATCACTGACAGAAAATATAAAGAGCATTTGTTTGTAAAGGCCCATTTCACAACATACATTTCTCAAGAGCTAAATAAAGCAACCCAGCACTCTCTTATGGGAAGAGCAGCATTAAAAATGAAATGACATGAAACTGAAAAAACAGACAGGCCACATCCTTCCTCATCTAAATAAAGCAAATGTAAAACATATGTGGTTCACCATGTGTGAAAAGATATATTCATATTATTGTACAGCCATAGGTAAAATGCTTCTATTCTATTCAGACCACTAGGTGTGTCACTTACCCATCCACATGTGTATATAATACGAGGGTGCAGTGGTGGTGTACAGTAGAAGGTAGGCGTCACCCTTATAGAAGTTGCCATAGAGATTCTTAGGCACTGGCTTCAGGTCCATGTTCTCAATGCGCCATATCTGCAGACCAGGAGCTTTCCCTGCAGTCTCAAACTCCTTATGGGACACCATAGTGACTGAGGGGGGTGCAGAAAATAAAAGGTTTGGATGTCTTTTCAGGGCATTACGTCATACTGGGGAAATGAGAAATGTATAGTGTGCAAGCAATAGAGAAGAGAAATATGCTTTAGAGAAATAAGAAGTATCTGTTCCTCTGAAAATGCTCTTGATTATTGCTTGAGAACCATATGAAGTCTGAATCTTCTGACGTCTGTGATACTGAATCACTGGTTCCCATAAAACACATAGTCTGGCACAGCAAGGGGAATATCTGCACCATTTACTCACATGCAAAAACTCAGATGCAAACGCAATGCACCATACATCACACCTCTGTGACGGTATAGATAAGACTTTGAGCCTTGGAAAAGAGGATCTAGTCATCATGGTGTTGACTACAACACAGCTGATAAGAAAGAGAAACACATGATCTTGACTTACATGCTACCTCAGAAACTAATCTAAACATTTAACATGGTCTTATGCTTTTTATATAGTAATCAGTAAAGGGTACATTCTGCATTCATCAGTCATGTTAACGTTAAGCAGTTTTTATGCTAGTATATAAAAACAAGCCTCCATGTCATTGCAGCTGATACTTATGGGTTTTCATTTGTTGTCATTCTCTATTTGAAATATTATACATATAGGACATGGCTTTGAAGCACAAAAACCACAATCCATGCAAATGTATACGTTTACATATTTCCTGCAGCAGATGTAAATGGCTCTCTGAGTAACGAGTTCAAACTGTTTCAGTTACCAAATTAACAGCCAAAGAGGTTCTGCTGCTGTGATGTAATGCAGTGGTCAAATATATAAAGAGTTTGGTTCCAAAACGCTATAAATCCATTTTGATTAATTTGAGTAAAAATGTGTTTTCTTTACCAAGAAAGTGGCAAGATGAATACCACTATTTTCTGTTTCAAACTTTCACATAGCATCTTTAGGTTATAATAACATTAAAAATTCAAACCCAGATTTTGATTTTCAAAGATTTATTATAAAATTTTATAATTTTTTCCCAAAATGCAATAAATCCATGACACGTTTTTTTTTTTCTTTTCTTTTCTTTTTTTTCCAAAATGCAGTAAATCCATTGAATCAATATAAAAGTTATTTTTCATATTGAAACTGTTGAAAATACACAACATAGTACGTTGATTCACATATGACAGTCTCTGAACTTGGTCAATATTAATCTTATATACAGGCACTGGACTAAAAATACATTCAATCAGTCATCGCTCCCAAAATGAATTCAACGGGTAATCTTGTTAATGCTATAAATTAATTACAACAATAAAAGAAAATTTCATCATGAACATATATGAACAACATCACATTAAAACACAGAAATTCCAAAATGACATTTCCCTTACATTCAACTTCCAAAAGTGCATTAATCTTTGCCATGTTACATTCATTTAGTTAACTAGTGCTATACGCTGTATTACCAAAAACATAAATGGCATTAATAAAAACACTTACACTGACAAGCTACGCAATATCGCGTTCATAATCGAATGCGACTCATCTGCAATTATGAACGCGATATAGCAGTGATCTATGGCTCTGTGTATTAAATGCCGCTCCATCTGAAAGCACGTGATAGAGATTTACTATTCACAGAACCGGCTTTACTGACGAGATGCGCATGACAATCACATGCAATTTATCGTGCAGCCCTAATTTTTTTGTTTGTTTGTTGATCACAAAGTACAAAGTAGATGAGGAAAACTAGGATGCCGGGTGTATT